TTTTTTCGGGTATTGAAACTTTAATAGTGGAGAAAAGGAGGATCCACACGACTTCCATACTTGGTCCACGACAGGGATTGTAGTGGTGTATCAGTCTGTTAATAAATGGATTTATTTATGACTTAATATCAGGACATGTTTGATCGAATCAAATCGTGCCTTCAACATAGGAAAACCACTCGTATCCTGAGGTAGTGAAAAGGAGTAATATGGTCTTTTTGTCATTAGGTGATTTTTATATGGTAGATGAGCTTAACAGATCCCACGATAACTTATGATTGGTCATCAACAACTACCTGTATAGACCATGTCACAGATAACGTTTAATCTAAAGAAAATCTGTATCCGGATATCCGATGTGAGAAGAGGACTCTGTCAGTTTAAGGCTTACCCCCTTCTCACCGGTTATTATCGGATATTCAATTCTTAGAGTAAGACTACCAGTAGTATAAACCTCTCCCTTTATTGGTCCACCGACTTAATGTAGTGGTTTATCAGTCTTATTCTCATTGGGTGATGTTATTTCACATAATCAAGATTTAACGTTCGGAGATTTTGTATCCACATATCATGTCAAAATACACTTTGACCTTGGAATTAAGTTCATGTCATGTGTTTAGGTAGTTATAGTCACTCTCCAGCATATATCCTATGATCTTATCTTACAATTTACAGTCCAAGGGAGTCTTTTGCAATCCCCTGTGTACAACTGTAACACGTGTCGTTTCACTTCTTTGAGGCATGTCCCCTTCCGGTTGTCTCTCCGTGACCGGGTGAAAGTGAGAGGAGGTGTGAAAAACGTTATGTTCACTACTAAGAGGAGTGAAGACATCCACGGACCCAAAACATTTATCGGACCACTTTACCGGGGTAGAGACTGTTAGGTGGGGAAACGGTTATCCTGAGGTATTGTTCCCAAGCCCAAGCCCGACACTGTGTAGCGACAGGACTTTGTAACGAGAAACGATGTACAACAAACTTTAGTAGGAGACAACCGCCGTCTAAAAAGGTTCCGACGTAGACAACAAACTACGTCTAATACCTGGAGTGCAAGTAGGTTCAAACACGTGTAGCAGGTTAAAGGAAAAAAGGTATATCGTCTTCGCGTTAAGAAGAACGCTGACCGGTTTCTGAGAAGGTTCGACCGTCCCCAGGTTTCCCGGTCCTAGAAACTCGAGCGACTCTACCCCAGAACCTCAAACCACTTACGCCAACAGAAAGGATAAGACATGTTTGATGAACAACTCCTCGGTGTCGGTCACTCACGTTATTGTACGCCATCTGTGCAATCTGTACAGAAAGGTTACAAGTTGTGTATACCACAACTACCCCTGTATAGAGAGAGATAAGGTACCGGACGTACGTACATGTGATCTCTACTTGGTTTGTATTATATAACTCGTCATGAAGGTGTGGACACAGTAGTCTGGGAGTGTTACTACGCCCTTATACTGAGGACGTTCTACTACCGTACCTCGTGGTAGGAACACAGGGACAGAGGAGAGACTAGTGACATTCGCACAGGTTTGACGACTGGGGACGACACGTCTACGAGAAGTGGAGGAGGGGAAGTTAGTTTAGGACTCACATCAGTGACACCCCGTCGTCACTGGTAACAATCAACGGTGTTATTCGTGTACGTCAGAACAAAGGTGATGAGGAGTTCTAAGGGACATCAAACCCTGTAAACAAAAACGGTCAGCTATTGTACACACTCCGGAGGTAGTGAACGTGAGGGTCCAGAAACTAACTGACACCGTGCAGATTCGGACAGTTTATGGTAACTGGATTGTAAAGTAAGAACAAAAGATATATATATATTATAATATTGTCCTGACAGAGTCTTTTAATCTATAGCACTATTTCAAGGAAATAAAAGACATGTACTTTTAATTTTTTTTGTTTTTTTACAGTTATGTAAGACCAAGTAATGTTTAGTTGACTTATAACGTTCGGAAATAATAAATATAACGGACTTAATACCGTATGTCGAATTCTTTGAGTTTTAGGATAGAGTTTTTTAATCTTATCAAGGGTAGTCTGGTTCATTTTTTTTTTCAAATATTGTCGTTTTGTGTTTAGTTTGTAACTTTACAGGTAATTACGGAGTCATGGACCAACCCCTTAGGAAAACGTGCCTAATGACGTAGTTAACGCCGCACCGTACCTCCGTTAGTCGGAACACCGTAACACTCCACATACCTACGGGTCCTAGAAGTTATGCGGAAATCGAGTAATCGGTTAAACAACCCAGGGGACCACCAGAAAGTCGGAAAGGAAGTTTGTTATGGGGTGGTATAAAGAAGGGGATAACCCCCAAGTCCAGTCCTCCTTAAACGGGTCCCGGGTTAGCTCCTGTCATACGGTACCAGTCATTGTGGTCAATGACCACCAAAACCGTGACACCCCGGTCCACGGGGTCTAGTACGACCTTTTACTTAAGGGAGGTTAGAGGTATCTCGAAAAGTCGTCTGCCTTCTAAGTCACAGATTTTAAGGAACCATGTGTTTCGACGGTAAATAGACCCAGGGAAACTACTTTTCACCTGGTGTGTTCGTCGGACTGTACCGAGGGGTTTGGTAGCGACTGACACCCTTGAATGTGACCCTAAAAGTTCGTGAACCTAAAACGAGGAGAGGTCGGAAAAGAGGTCTGGGAGACCGGCGGAACTGAAGGGTTTACTTTATGTTTTGAACGGGAAAGGCGTTTTCTCCTTGAAACTGCGTGTACACGTTGACAGGTCACGAAGAAAAGGAATCGGGTGTCAGTTCTGCCGGAGAAGGCAACAGAACTCAAGTCTTTCACCGAACTGGTACCCTTATGGCCGATAAACTCGGGTAAAGGGGCCGTGCAGACACTTGTCACTGAAACTTTATGGACCTGAGGTCGAGAGTCAGGGGTGACGCGAACTTCCGGGGTTTTAGACCTTCGTGGAGAAGAAGTGTTACGACAATTCCGCGCCAGTTAGAAAACCAACACGTGTCCAAAGGACGGTGTTAAAGGGGGAAGGGTTTTCTGAAAACACCTACACGAAACTTTGCCGTGAAGACACTTGTCGAACGAGAAAACTCTTTAAAGAAAACACACAATGGAGGACTACCTCCCACAGTTTACTTGCCGAGACCTGTCGTCAGTTAGTCGTCAGAAGGGGTATTGACACTAAACAAATGGACCTTGGTTCGACTTCACAAAAAAGTTCCGAGTCCTTTGGGAACGTCCACAAAGCTCAATTTAATCTGCTAAGTTGCAACTAAGCAAACTTGTGGGGATGATCATATGAAAAGTACTTATAAGATTATAAATCTCTATCCGTATAAACTCAAGATTCGACATTACGGTATAGTCGTTATAATTTTATTATTTTCCGAACGTTATAAGTCACTAAACATTACTTAGGTCTTAATAGTTAAGAACAAAAAAAAAATTAACGTAATGTCTTTTTTTCTGAAATAGTGTAAAGATTACAAGCTCTGTCAGGGACAATATATATTATGCTATATATTATACACGGTTTGTGTTCGTCCCGTAAAATTTTTTCACGTCTGGACATTACTTCCTCGGTTTTAGGGGAGACTTCTTATTGTGTCACAATATTGGATTTCGTTTTTGTTTACAGTTTGATGGCCATTCATGAACTCTCATACCTTTGTTCTGGTGTGGCACGTACAACACTCGTTGATTGTAACGTGACGACGGGGTGTCTCTGACTTGTGAGTCCTTACAACTGCTTCCCTCCTCACTTCTCGTAAGTGTCGTCCTAGTCCCATATTCGGCTTGTTCTAATTTGGCTCTTTTTCAGGGATTGGGGTAGTTCTAAAGAACAACCCAAAAAAAATTTTTTTCCCCCAAAATAAAATTTGACAACAATACATTTCATTAATGGGAGACCCTAAAGAGTGTTTGGTTCTACCTGGGGTAGAGGTATCTCGAAAACTAAAGCCTTTTTTGAGGACTTGCTGCTAGACTATACATCATTGTCATCATTTATCCAATTATATTGTGTTAATCTCAGTCTTGTTACTGTCTCATATGTTAATGTGTGATGTTCTTCTGTCCATTCAGGGCCGTGTGTAAACTACTCCGGCTGCCAGATCACTTGGGCCAAGTTCTGCAAGGTACTGACCTAAAAAAAACACGGTTCAACCTGCCATCTTGCTATTGTGTTACTTCAATTGTGAGTTATTTTTCTCCTTCCTCTTCCCAGGAAAACATGGCTGGCAAAGGCTTCTCCTTCTGGGTGTGGCTGGACAACATCATCGACCTGGTTAAGAAGTACATCCTGGCACTCTGGAATGAAGGGTGAGAGGTCGCCCTTTGTTTACGAGTCCAAGTGTTTTGAAGTGCTGTGGTCAACAGGTTCAGAATAGACTTGCTATTTTTAAACCAATATCCTGTTGATTTTCTGCAGGTATATCATGGGCTTTATCAGTAAGGAGAGGGAGAGGGCCCTTCTCAACCCAAAACCCCCCGGCACTTTCCTGCTGCGCTTCAGTGAGAGCAGCAAGGAGGGCGGCATCACATTCACATGGGTGGAGAAAGACATCAGCGGTGAGTTGTTGTTGTTTTTATACCGGCTGATCACTTTAGTTTCTGTTCAGGTACTGAGCTTCCTTGTATGTTTTCCTAGGAAAGACCCAGATGCAGTCGGTGGAGCCCTACACCAAGCAGCAGCTCAACAACATGTCTTTTGCCGACATCATCATGGGATACAAGATCATGGACGCCACCAACATCCTGGTTTCGCCTCTTGTTTACCTCTACCCTGATATCCCCAAAGACGAGGCTTTTGGGAAATACTGCAGGCCAGAAGCTGCGCCGGAGCCTGAGATGGGAGGAGACTCCACGAGTAGTGAGTGTTCCTTACGCTTCCTTTAAGACGAGCAACAAATATTGTTTAGTGTGCATGTTTTTTCTCGCTTTGTTTCTTGTGATAGTGCTAATACTCTTTTTCTCTTTGACAGCTATTCAGCCATACTTGAAGACGAAGTTCATCTGCGTTACCCCGTGAGTATCTTCTTTTTTTGAAGTGGTCAATATTTACAGGAAGGGCTCATGCCATCTTGTGACCTTCACTTATTTGTAGTCCTTATTAGTAGCTGTTTACTCATATAAAGAAAAGAGATTCCCTCTGAATGTTCCTGGTATGATCTGAACTTCCCTTTTTGAGATTTCCTTTTTCAATATGTAGCAAATTCTGCCAAATGTTCAAGAAAAGAGAACAAAGCAGTTTTTTACTCTGCAAGACATCGCTGTCTTTAGAGGAGCCAGCGCACTGTTCTCTGATCAAGTATTGTGATCCCAGATCAATGTAGATTATGTTCAGACAGATTGCAATTAACACAACAGGTTGTGTCTTCACTGATCATTCCAGGTAGGGGTTCTTTTCCATGCTCCATATACTATCTGTTCGACTGTATTTGCATTAAAATAAATAAAGGGTAGACAGAGGGCAGCTGTTTGAGGGTGTGCTGGTGGGTTTGAGGTTTGCTCAGTGAGATCCTGACCTGTCTCCGTAGGTGTCCCTCCGTGTTCATGGACTTGCCGGACAGTGAGCTGCTTGGGAACGGATTCCCAGGGTAGGCGCTCGGGGAGGTGGGGGAGGTGGCATGTAGGGAGGGCTTTGTGTGTGCATCTTGTCACTTAAGTTGCAGCACCTACCTGTTTTTCTTTTCCAACTCGCCTGTCACTTTACCTGGTCCTAATATAAGAGCATCTCCCTGCTATTAATCCGTTTTTCATCCATTTAGATAGTTGTGTCAGTATTTTGTATAACATTTTTTACCAGATTTCAGATAAAAGTAGTATTATCACTGGGAAATAATTCCTAATCCATTCTCAATTCCATTCCAAGACCAAATACAGTATCGAAATATAACTAAAAGGGCATTTGGGGAACACAGACGTTCACCAAGGCAAAAACGAGTTGGTTACTTCCTCCATGATTCAGATCCGCTCCAGCTTTAATTGGCTTCTTCATTCGACCAATAAACACCCTTTCACCAAGTTACATGAACATGTTACCTATGTTATCGGTAATCCCGTTGACCTCACTGACAGAACCTCCTCTGCAAATGACTGGAAATTGCACTTTTAAAAGTCTGAGTAACAACCTGATCAATCCACCAGCAAACTAACAAACATCCTCCATTTACTTTAGCTGCCGGTCATTAACATCAATCATTAACATCAAAAAGAAATGTAAGCACTGCCTGAAACAGAAGCAGGGAATATTATTGAATATGCTCAACATCAGCCCAGTCTTTAGCGGTTGAAGATATATATTTTGATGTTTATATTTAAACATTAGTGAAGATTTAGCCACAGATCCATCACATTTTGAATCTACCCTACTCTCTTTCGGGCATGACTTTCCTCACTGACACAAATGCTGAATTGTCTTTCTATGGGGTGATCGTTTCAAACCACTGATACAGTATGTGTATGAACCACCGTAGCGATCAGTGGGATGAAGAAAAGCATTGACTTACACAAGTTAGTTGGTAGCGACATCAAGAAAATATGTTGTTACTTTAGTTTTATATATGAACATTTTTGACGAGCACAAACCTTATGGCAGAAAACAAGTGGCATTTCAGCGTCAACAACTCTTTTTTCTTTTTTCCTACAGCACAAACTCTGGAAACACCAGCGACCTGTTCCCCATGTCGCCCCGCACCCTGGACTCCCTGATGCACAATGAAGTTGAGGCAAATCCTTCACATTTGGGTGAGTCATTTAAACTATCAAACTACACATTTGTGTTAGCTAGGAAACTCAATGACCTAGAACGTGTTTATTAACCAACATTATTAGCCTCTGTCTGGTTTTCCTCCGCAGACTCAATCACTTTGGACATGGATGTAGCATCACCTATGTGAGGACAGTCGCCAAGTTTCTTCATTTTCTTCATTGGGATTTGGTATTATGTTGTGAAAGAGGTGTTATAATTTTCCCACCGCCTGTACAGTTTGTTTCTTGTTTCTGTTTAAAAGAAAATGTCTACTTTTCACAGAGAAGGGATCTAAATGGTTTTGAAAGATGTTTTAAATCTTTTAAAAGAGGATTTCCACTCATTTAAAGTTTGACTGTCCATCTTTAGCTCAGTGTGTGATTTTAAGCATCTTCCCGCTCCTGTTCTGTTCTTCTCCATCTGCATAGATGTCCTGATTACTCTTTTCAGTATCTGGAATTATATTTTTGAGAACATTGTATTTTTGCCTTTTTGAAACGGCTATGAACTCTTGTGTTCTTTTCTTTTGAATAAGAAAGTGTAAGTAGAATAATTGTTGCATACAGTAAGCTTTGCCGTTTTGGAATAGTATTGTTCTGATGCATTTAATGGTCCTTTTTAAATATGTACTATTGCATTTTTAGTGGCCGCCAAATGTTTTGTCACATGTGTTTCACAATACCTTTGTTTCATATCAAATGGTTTGTTTCTTGATAGTTTTTACTCAGAATGAAATATTTCCAATATTTCTTAGAGCCATTTGAAGTTTTAAAAAACTGCAGAGAGATGATATAACAATTTATGGATATTTTCCTGTAAAGTTATTTCCCCTTATAGTGAGAAATTACATGATATAACCTGTAAAAATTGTTTTGAAAGCAGTTTTTTGTCACTCCCACCCCATATCAAACTGTAATTTGTGATCATGTGAGTTGCACTTGCTTTAAAATTAGCAGTTTTATTGTTTGTGTTGTGCCTGAATTCACCTGATCAGATATGTAATGTAAATCATTGTATGAACAATTTATTTTAAGACAAACTTGTTGTTAAAATAATCATGGATGAGAAAGAGATATTTCCCTCTAACACAGCAAGGAGTGTTGACTTTTAACCTTTCATACAACTAGTAAACTCTGAGATAAATGCAAGCCACATCTGTCTGTCATGCAACGAAATGTCAAGAGGATTTCTGTAAAATACGATGTAACTACTCATCAATTGACATAAGGTAATAAAAACAAGTTATCACTGAAGTAGTCAAGTCATTGGTTGGTGTCATTATTCACTTGCAAGTTAATGATAAAAACATGATGGAAGTTTTAGCACTTGAAATGGAAATATGTTAAATATGAAATACATTTGTCTGCCAACATTCACAAGAACAAATCAATAACTTATTAAAATGCAGTTCAACAAAATAGTCTTCCATGTGTGACCTGCAACAGAAAATATGTGCTACAGGGCAAACTTAAGCAAACCACCAACCGCACTGTCACACCACCAAGTGTTTCATCATACAAACCAGAGAATAACTCAAACAGGTTTTATGGCTGTGAACTTCATTCCTGAGATAAAGCACTGGCTGATAACATTTACTGGAAATATCCTCAAATGCAGCAATATAGATAGGAAGCCAGACGATTAACAACGAGAGAATCCAAGATTTAAGAGAAATAATAAAGCAATGTGTGAAATATGCAAGCAATAAACACGTTATCTTTATGAGGCCTCTGTTGGTCTGAATGCTGTGGGAACAGAGCTCAAGTGTAATGCAGCACAGATTGTTCTGGAAACAAAATGAATTTTAGTTCATTGACTTCATATGGTGATCTGGGAGTTTGACTTGATATTGATTGATACATATTCCTTTAGGGAAGGCTACTTTCATGGTCCAAGAAGAGACAACATCTAAATTAGGGAGGTTTCATTTGGATGGAAAATCAGTCCCCTATGTTTCTTTTTTATTGGTATTTTCAATTGAATTAAAATAAAAAAGTAAATATCCCATGAATTAACGTGTGTAAAGTGAAATGACAAGAGTGCGAAACCTATGGTTAGTTCGGCTAAAATATGTATACTTAAAATGTGTGACAAACCTTGTTGTCAGGTGTCATTTAGTGTTGTTGTAAAGCAGGAGGTCATTTTAGCCAATTCATGTTGTATAATGCAGTGATTTGGATATTACAGTTCATTCATGCATAAAATGTGACGTCATCCCACTTCCTTTTTCAATTCAAAGAAATAACAGTGTCTCTAGCCATAAGATTTCCCTGACCGGAAACCCCCATATTGTATCTGTTCACTTCAGTTTCACTACATCTCCAGCTGTACCGTGATGTGATCAGCTGCAGTGGTTTCCCATGAGTCCTTGGAGAGCATGTGACAGCTGAGATAAACGCCTGCAGCTAAACAAACAGGGACAGTATAGGCAGCAGTCTGTGCATTCCTGGACCTCTGGCCTGATCTACAGCTCTCTCTGAGCCCTGGTTGCCTCTGTTAGTCTGTGAGAGGCAGGGAACACAGACTGGTTTGAGGAGAGGAAGAGGGGCGTGGAGAGGAACAGCTATTACCGGCAGCAGCTGCTGACTCAGCTGTCTGAGGAAGCAACTGTCACCCTTCAGTTGGCTCACAGCCAGTCAATCTGCAGGATCAATGAAGCTTCAACAGGGTGCTGTGTGTGTGTGTGTGTGTGTGTGTGTGTGTGTGTGTGTGTGTGTGTGTGTGTGTGTGTGTGTGTGTGTGTGTGTGTGTGTGAGTGTGAGTGTGTGTGTGAGACTGATGAGGACTTTTTGACATAGATGCGGGAAATGAAGTTATTTATAGTGTTTCTATATCATAGCGGACTTTTTTAATTATTTACGGTCATCAACAACCCGAGATTCCTCATATTTTGCTTTGGTTTCTCTGGACACAGTAGGCTATCTGTAACACATGTCATGTCTACAAGGGAAAACACTTGGGTACATCTTACTAGGGACTCATTTTTACTAAGCTTTGAAAGAGTAGTTGTTGCTTTGTAGGCTTTTATTTTTACGAAGCTGGTAAACACATTACATCATATATTATAATACTTCTCCAATTGTTTTATCCTTAAACAAACAGTAAAGTATTTTCAATTGATTGACTAAAGTCAAGGATAAAAGTACTTTTTCTTACAAGCACAATTTGGATTTTGGTCAAAAGTCAAGAGTAACATCATAACAGAAGAAGTGAACATTCCTCACTTACCTTTCTTCAACATTCAACATGGCTCCACATGGTTGCTGTTTCCTTTCTCTCTTTGTTTTTTTTTATCCCAAATAGCAATATATACCTCTCTTCTTAGCTGCACACATTGACCTATACATCGTGGCAGGTTTAACATGTAAAAGCAACAACACATTTCCTCTATTAATGCCCTGAATTAAGTTTAGTTTAGTACCAGAAGGTGTCGCTATTCTCCAGATTGAGTGAAACACATTTAGTCGATGCAATAAGTTTAATAGACATTATTGAACGACTGTACTGTGCTGTACAATAGATTCTACTTTATTTTCATTAAACGTTTGGCACAGAGAAGCTAGTCAGAAACCTGCAGAAAATACTGGTACTCATTTAATTTAGTAGTAAATAATCACTAATGCATATTCTTTTTCTTCTAATATTATTATTAGTGTTATTATTATTGTTATTGTTATTATTGTTATTATCATCATCATTATTATTATTATTATTATTATTATTATTATCATTATCATTATTATTATTATTATTATTATTATTATTATTATCATTATTATGTGATTTGGCTTGATGAAAGTATCAGTTAAAGTTATTTTTTAGTCTCCAAAAGAAAAGACCCTAACGATTATGCGTTCAGAATCCACTGGGATCAGACAACCTAGTTCTTCACAGAAGTACAAGAGCAAAACATACATGTATATTCAAAGAGCGAATACAAAATGTGGCTGTTATTGTAATTAACACCTCCTTCAGTCTGATTCCAGCTAGAGAAAAATCATCCATCATCAGCAGGACAGAAATCCAGAGAAAGTGTTTCTCACTCACACATTGAAGAAGCACCGGAAGTGGGCGGTTTATCGGAGAGAGGTGGGGAGAGAGAGAGTTGGAAACTACAGGCTGACAGACGGACTGTCAGAGAGGTTCCTGCTGGAGGTCGCTCACGTCGCTGCAGGCTTTTCGCCGCATTTTATGCAAAACGGACCGCTAGTGTTCAGTCGCTCCACATAGGTGAGTGTCACACTTTGACCGTGTTTCAAATGTTGTTTTGTGGGAAGAAGTGACCGTCCCCGTTGCGAAACATTGTTCTGACAGCGCTTTGTAAACAAACTGAGTGCGGCTCCGTCTGCACGCGCTCAAACCATACAGCCCGCGTGCACGTAGTAAAATTTATGTTACTTTTTCTTTTGTGGTTTTATTAAGCTGAATCAACAGGCAGGTCCCTGTTATAGTTCTTCAGTCATGTTAACGGACTGAGTTTCCCCCCGTATCGCACTGTCACTGCTGTAAATAACACTGACTCACTGGGAGCTTTCTAAAATATACAAGTTGTTCTATAGGGGAAACCCTCCCTCCCAGTCTGGCAGCACTCCAATAACCTACATAGAGAATCATTACGTCTCAGTCAAGGTGAAATAGGACTAAAAAGATAACCAGTATACGTTTTATAGAGCCCACGGGAGTCTTATGCCTTAATGAGCATGCTTCAGAAGTTTGACAGCCTGGCAGGGAGCTTTTGTTTCGGGCACTCTGGTTCTGGCATGTTTATATCTTGCTGTATTTAAGTGCAGTTTTGAGCTGCTTCAATTGAGAATATCCATTTTGTGGAATTGCTTTTACTCTATATTTCAGACCGAAATCTTGTACTTTGTACTCCATGACTTTTCTCTGACAGTTCTTGTAACTTTCAGATAAAGACTTGCAGACACACAAAACGAATGCTTTACTTTAGTTTCAACTATGCAGTAGTTTATTTTTCCACCTAAGCCAGCTGTAACATAAAACTGGCTGCTGCTTTTATATCAACACTTCAACGGGTGCATTTTACCGCTCACTCGTCTAGATCTTCTGCTATTACAAATGTTGTTTTGTTCCATTCCACAAGTTAGTACCAGATAGTATTTGAATAATAAGATTATTTCAAGGTGACTTCTAATTCAAATAGCGTGAATATTTGAACATTGTGGTGATGTTACACAATTTAAAACAAAAAAACAACCACAAAGAACAAAAGAGTCACTCAGTCCTGAATACCATAAATACAGTTGCACTATGGTATGACAGGAGATGTCCAAAAATGTGACTAAAAGTTTGCATTATCTCACTTCTAGAGCTCCACACAGACACACACAAGGTCTTTATACTGTAGTCATTTTACACTTTAAAAAGAGAAGAAGAATAAATCAGAAACTAAGCAACTGTAAATGCCAGCTCCGTCATGATCATTATCTTACAAAAGCTGAATCGTTAATACGAAAGGAATGGAGTAGAACAGGAGTACGTTTGGTCGTTGTGATTAATTATGTGCCATTTATCTCCTCGTTGAGCTTCACTATAAAAGAGCATATGCTTGGTTGCTTTACATTGGCTTGTTGATATCTGAAAAAAGCATAAAATGATGGTTCATGAAGGTCAACACGAAGGTGTCAAATCTGTGACTCACGACTCACTGAATAAAGACCCGGGTGTTTGTGCTCACAAACAGAATTGAAATGTCACTGACGCTTTGATGCTCTGTGTCTGTGTAAAGATAAGCTTACCTGTACAGTACCTTTGTGATATGCATCCTTTGCCATTTTGTTGCCTGACAAATGTTGAATTGCACCGATAAGAATTGTGTGTCGTCCTTTGGACAATCCAGGGGAAGTTCTTCTTAAAACCTACTGTGGAGCTGGCATTGACTCAGTCCCCTTTGGCTCCTTGTATGTGAGAACTGCGTGTTGGATAACGCCCTCTGCCCACTGTGGTAATGTCTCCTCTTGAGGCTTCTGTGGGAAAGCTTTGGATGAGTTATTACTACTGTCTGAGTCCTTCCCCTTTAATGAGCAATACAAATGGTTAGTTTGCTGACATCTTTCTGTTTGTCTCGCCGATGTGTCGCTTGGTGTGCCGAACTTTGTCCAAAAAGTTAGTTTGTTGATAGGTAATTGATCATTTTTTCATTTACAGATGCTGCATGTTTTCTTTCCTATTAAAGCGTAATACTTTGGTTTTGGACAGATCAATTTGAATCACCTTTTGCCCCTTTTATGGACTGATTTT